CAAGGGGGCTTTCCTCATCCAACCCCCTTCCCGTATCCGTATTTGATGCGCCCGTAGTGAGGGCAGGCTAAGCCGCGGAGACAGCGTGGCTCCCATGGCCCATGGTCTGGGAATGGGAAGGCACATGGTGGAGGAGGACATGGAGGAGGACGGAGGACGAGGACGAGGCGGAAGAAGGAGGATGAGGATACGGATGAGGAGGTGGAGTCGGGTGTGGGCAAAAAGGAATCAGGATGAGGATGAGGAGATGAGGAAGAGGAGCAGTAGGAGGAGGAGAAGGAGCAAGAGGCATGGAGGAGGAAGACGAATAGAGGAGGACGAGGAGGAGAAAGAAGCGAGGAGGAGGAGGAGGAGGAGGAAGACGGGGAGGAAGAGGGGGAGGAAGAGCAACCTCGCTGTCCCTGTGGCTTAACCTGTCCTGAGGTAGGCAATCCATCTATGCTCTCCAGTGGTTCGCGCGCCGCGCGCGCACGAGTGGTGCGAGCTCAGGATCTCCGCTTGGATTTGCTCCTCTTATTTTTCTTTTTCTTTGTGTCCAGATCCATGGAAAAACCACCGGGCGACTGCCTGGACTTGGAGGGCGTGAACATTCTCTCCTCCAGCAATGTCTTCGGTGTCTTGGCGCTGTCGACGAGAGCCGCCGTCTCACTCTGCTGCTTCAGGGGCTCGGGCGCCCTAGGCCCCGCATCATCCCCTGTCTCCGGCTTGAAAAAGACCGACTTTGCGCCGTCCGAGCGGTCCATGATCATGGGCACGATGAAGACGCCGTAGACGACGGCGAAGGCGAAGATGCCGACAACGGGCAGGTAGTCCCCCGTGGTCACTTCGGCGAACTCCTCCTGCTTGGGCATCACGTTCGCGAGGCCCAGGGCCTTCGCCCCCTCCGGCGTGGTGGGGTCGTACACGTCGTCGGCCCCCGTCGTGAGCAGCCGGAAGAAGCGCCTGGCGTTCTCGAAGAAGTCCTTCGTGGGCGAGGGGTCCCAGCCGCCCTCGGCCGCGGGCGGCGGCGCCTCCGCCCGCGCGTGCGGCGCCGCGCCGGCGAGCGCGGCGGCCACGGGGCCGCGAGAGGCCCCCTCGGCCCCCCGGCCGAGCTCCGCCCCGCGGCGCCGGGGCGGCCCGGGCACGAAGCCTGGGCACCGCTCGGGCGTCCATTTTCCCCGTGCCTGTTTTCGGTTTCGTGCGCAGTCTTTTCGCCAAGTGGTCCTCGCCGAGGGAACAATGCACACGCCGAGGGAACAATGCACACGCCGAGGGTGCTCCTCGATGGTCCTCGCCGAGGGAACAATGCACACGTCCGAGCGATGCCGAGGAGCCCTGGGGGCCCCGGCCGAGCCGCCCGCCGCGCGGCCGCGGGGCCGCGGCGGGCCGCCAGGCCCCCGCGGCGCAGCACAGCGCCGCCAGCGCCAGGCCGCACGCCAGGCGCCGGCGGGCCCTGTGCCCCGCCGCTGGGCCCCGCGGCATGGCGAGGGGAGCGAGCGCGCCACGCCGCTCGGGTCGGGCGAAGGGGGGGATAATTAGCAAAGGGGGGGGCTCGAGAAGCGGCTCGCGTGGCTGAGTTTCCCGGCGCCGGAGGCGGCGCTATGCCTCGAGGCATGGGCCCCGCGGTGAGGCCGGGAACAAAAAAAAAAAGCTGCAGGCGGCAGATTTCGTGAGCCCCCCCTTTTCCAATCGCCCCCCCCTTTCGTCCGGCCCGGGCCACCCCCCAAAAGCGCAACGGGCAGGCCCCCGGCTCGCCCCCGAGGCGCGCCTCCACCGAGGCGCTCGAGCCGCGGCGGCCCACCGGAGCGGAGGAGGGCTTGGGCCTCTCTCCAGCGCTCGGGCGGCCCTTCCCCGGGCGTGTTTTGTTCGGTGCCGTGCGCGTCCTTCTTCGCAGGACGATCTCCAGGCTGCTCTTCGAGGGTCCTCGCCGAGAAGAGCATGCACACGTCCGAGCGACGCCAAGGGTTCGCAGCGGAGAGAAGGCCGCAGCAGGAGGAGATGGGGCGCTGCGTAATTCAAAGGGGGGGCGACTGGCGGGGAGGGGGTGGGGGGTGCAGAGACTTTCGTGCCCCTTTTGAGCCCCAGAGGTGCACAAAAGGTATTTTCTTTCTTCACTCCCCGTTTGTCGGCCCCTCATTTCACAACGCCCGAGAAGGCGAGGTCCAGGCAACCCCCGGCGGCCCCCCAGCAGGCCCAGCGCGTCCAAGGAAGCCTCGAACCTCGAGCGCTCCGGCTGCGTCGGCCAGACTCCCCGAGAAAAAGAAAGAGAGAATCTGGAGAGAATCTGGGTTCGGGCTGTCTTCGCGCCCCGTCTCGCAGAAATTGGGATGTCGCGCAACGAGCTCCCGTGGACGCAAAGGAAGGCGCGCGTAGCGCGGAAAGCCAGGCGGGTGCAAACTGCGCGGTCCTCCTCCCACTGCTGCTGCTGCTGTTGCTGCTGACTCTCCTCCTCTTCTTCCACGTTCCCTAGGGGTCCGATGTGATCCGAGATGCGACGCATAATCGAATCATCCCGAGCCAGAGACTGTGATCATAAGGAGGAATATCATCGCATGCATCGAAATTGTGGAATTCATTTCGCAATTCATTTCACCCCGAGGAGGTGCTGTGCGGACAAGGTCATACAATCGCCTCGCCGCGCTCGTATCCATACCGTGCAGGGGGGGGGGAGGAGGGATCGAAATAAACAAAAATGGCTCGCCCGCTGCGGATTCGACGCTGGTGGGCATGCATGAAACGGAGGAGAGGATGGCGACGGGGAGGGGCCTCCTAAAAAGGCCCCCCCGCCTTTTCGGAGCACTTCCTGCGTTGAGGGAAGCACGCGTACGAACTTCTGACAAGGCGCCACTGCCTTCCCAGACCCCCCCCCCGCCTTCTCAGAAGGTCACTCCCCTCGCCCTGCCCCCTTTTGCACGCTACCTGGTAGGGGATGAGAGCGCAGAGTGCACGAAAGAAAGCAAAGGGTTCGCTCAAAGCCGCGCCCGAGACGCCTCCCAAGGCGAGCTCGACTCCCTCGCGATCTCGTCTCGACGGCTGGTTTGCAGCAGAGCTGCAGCCGTCGATTCGATTCTCGACACTTCTCTCCAGCTCCTTGTTATTGTTGCTGCTGATGTTGCTGCTAGGGTTCCTCCTCGTCCTTCGTTATCCTTCCACCTCCTCCTCCTCCTTCTCCTCCTCCCCCTCCTCCTCCCTAACACTTCTCTTCCTCTCTCCTTCTCCTCTCACTACTCCTTATAACGCTCCCTCGTCCCCCTCCCACTCCTCCATGATTTTCCTTTTGACCACCTGGGTCGCATTGCACGACGTGTCGGTAGGGCCGTCTGAGGGGTACGTCCTGCGACTTCCTCTAGACGCATGGTCCTAAACCTTGAATGTTGAAGCACCTGCGATGATGGGGGGCAGCTGGTTCTCATGATGCCTATCGTTTTCCTCGCACGTCGAATTCCGATTATTCCAAGGCTTGAGATTCCGATCAGCTACACGGATGAAGGGTGGGCCGTTTTCAACTTACGGCTGTCGCTTGAGACTTGCCGCGCGCTCTGGACCCCAAACTCGAATCTCGCATCAGTAACGGATGGAATGCGTGCCCTTTTCAAAACCATGCGTCCGCGTGGATTTCTGCATGCTTCCAGTTTCGAACACTTGAGAACTCGAGCGACTCAGCATACTTGGAGCCAACTCATTGCCAGCATCGAGCTCTCGCCTTTGGTTGTTGTCATTTTCTTTTTTGTTTTTTGGGGAGGGCGGCACAATTCGGGCGGTTGCCGGTGTACCACGTCGGCGTCGTCAGGTGTTTCACGAAATAGTCGTATGCCCCGAAATAGTACCAGGTGCACTTGATATGGCAACGACATTGACACTCAAGAAAGCGAACAGCATAGCCAGGCATGAGAGGAAGAAGCGTTCTATGACAAAACAGAGCTCGAAAGCGAAGCCGACGCCCAAGAAATCCTCCACAAGAAACTCCAACACCGCAAGCACACATATGAAGAGGATCGCGCACTGCAGCTCCTGCGCGCCCCCAGCCGAGAGCACGATCGCGGTGAGAAAGGAACTCGCTGCTGCCCACATAAAAATCTCCGAATCAGAGCAGCAACCCACCACAAAGATGCGAGCGAAACACACGGATTCGAGGCAGAAGTCCAAGAAATGATCCCCGATGAACGACACCTGAGCCACGACGCGACGATGAGGCTTCTCACCAGTTCGAACCACCCTGAAAAAATCGGAGGGCGCTGCGATCGGCCAGAGCATAAAAATCCTTGCGACCGGAACGATTAAAAGAAAAGGCCGAATCGAGCTGAAGACGAAGCCAAGCGCGGCACCGAGGAACGACCCAACGGAACTCGCACGCGGCTCAACGATAACCGGCAGCCAGCGCCCGTCCTGCAGGGCCGCCGTGACGAAGATGATCCGGCGTTGTGGATGCCATGACAATGGACACTCTAACAATCCTGTCATTGAATTTTAAAGAGGTGCTTAACACATGTAAAGCACGTTAGAAACATGTTTAAAACATGTAAGAAAACATGTAGAACATGCTTGAAACATCGTTTAGGCATCTGGAAACTATCTGGCAGCAGGCACTAACACGCAAAACCAGCTTTCTTATTGACCGCCGCGGGTGTACGAACAATCATCTGGAGAAGGGGCAGCCAAACCCAAGAAGTAGATTAGGGTTGCGCCGGCCCGCCAAAACACACAAAAATATCAATTCCTGAAGTAGGAAGGCGCTTGAAGTAGATTGGGATCTGGGAATCCAAAAATACCTACTTTCAACGACCGGCGTGCAAACGTCCTCCACAGCGGCAGCGCAGAGACGGCGCCGGCAGCCACCGACCGCCACGGGGCAGCGAGGAGAGCACGTCGGGGGGCGGAAGGCAGCGAGGAGGGCAGGGAGCGGGGGGCCGAGGACGCAGGAGAACGGAAACAAATGCCAAAAACGACGAGCTGGGAAATCAAATCCGTGTCAATGGCTATGTCCGTACCTGTCGAGAACGCTGCTCGTGTCTGTGATTGGAGCGGACATTCGGAGGAGAACGATTCTGCTCATGGCTGCGTCGCGCGAATCGGCAGGGCCGCCAACCCGTACTGCAACCCCTCGTCGAGAGGTGCCCTCCGCCAGCGCCCGTTGACCACGCAGCGAGCAACTCAGCGCCGAGAGCCCCTCGGCCGCGAGGCGCCTCGTCCAATCCGCCGGCCCCTCTGCCGGTTCTCTGGGCGTGTGAGGTTCCAAAGCTGGCCCAAAAGGCACAAAAAAAACGCTCCCCAGGAGGTCCCATGGGGGCCACGATTCGCCGACGTATCGCACCTGGACGCCCACGATCGAAGCTGCCAAGACGCCCCACAAGGCACCCAAAATGCGCCCCAAGAGGGTCCCGAGGAACAAAAATCGGCCCACTCTCCGCGAAAAACAAACATTTTTTCGCATGCTCGCCTATTCGGCTTTCACAACGTCCACGACGGGCAAAGAAACCTTCAATATCGCCCCCAGACGGCCAAAGGGGCCCCAAAGAAGGGTCGAAGAGGGTCCAACAACAGCCCAAGGAACCCCCAAGACATCCCAAGAGGGCCCCCAGACGGCTCCAAGACGGAGTCCAGAATGCACCTTTTCGAACCTTCGGCCCCAAGACGCCCCCAGCCTGCCCCAAGAACTCCCAAAAGGCCCTGAGGGACACCTAAGAGAACCCCAAAGGCCTCCAAGAAGCCCCCAGGAAGACCTCAAGAGGCCCCAAAACTTGGCCCAAGTTGCCTCGAGGCGGCCGGATATGGCCTGCAGACAGGCCAAGATGCCTCCAAAAGGCAACAAAAGAGCACAAAGACGCGCAAGTCGGCCCGCAGAGTGGGGCCCAAGAGTGGACAAATGTAGGCCAATCATGGGAAAAGCGAGGTTTTTGGTCTTCTCGCCTTGTCGCTTCCGACTGGCTCTTGAGGCGTCAAGACAGCTCCAAGACGTCTCCAACTGAGTCCCCTGACGAATCCCAAGGAGGTCCAAGGCTGGCGCAACAGTGCCCGGAGAGAGGGAAAAGGAGAGAAACGCAGTAGAAAAGCAATGTATTCGGCCTTCTCGCTTGTACACTTCCGGTTGACTCGGGGGGCGTCCAGACGACACCAGGACGGCCACAGGGAGGCGCAAGACAGGCCCGAGCATTCGAAAGTCTTTCGGGGGAAAGCGGGGAGGGGGTCGCTCCCCGGCCCTATAGGGCCCAGAGAGGGGGGCCCAAAGATGGATAAATGTAGGAAAATCATGGGAAAAGCGAGGTTTTTGGTCTTCTCGCCTTGTCGCTTCCGATTGGCTCTTGAGGCGTCAAGACAGCTCCAAGACGTCTCCAACTGAGTTCCCTGACGAATCCCAAGGAGGTCCAAGGCTGGCGCAACAGGGCCCGGAGAGTGGAAAAAGCAGAGAAACGCAGGAAAACATCAATTGTTCGGACTTCTCGCTTGTACACTATCGCTTGACTCGGGGGGCGTCAAGACGACCCCAGGATGGCCACAACAAGGCGCAAGACAGGCCCGAGGAGGTGAAATTCGTTTTGGGGGGGGGGGGCGCTGGGATGTGGGCTCCCCGGCCCTGTAACATATATATATATATATGTATATATACACATACATACATATATATATATATATATATATATATATATATATATATACATACATACATACATACACATATATATATATATATATTAATATATATATATACAAGACTGCAGTGGCGCTTCGCGCCATGCACCTTGGTCCTTGTTTGCAGGCGGAATGGCAGGAAGGTCAAGCCGACAATTTAGCGATAACTCCTGGTTGCCTTTTCCGGCATCGCCGCTATAATGATGTTATTCGTTATCCTTCCTCCATGCTTATTGTTCCTTATTTTCGCCATACCCTGCGCATTCTCCACATCCTCCTCAGCTCTTTTGTTGCGGAAGCTCCTCCTTGGAGAGCCTCTAGGGGCCTCACAAAAGTTGTTTCGGGCTTTCTTAAGGCCTTCTGGAGGCCTCCTGGGCGTATTCTGGGGGCCTCCGGGAGCTTCCTCGGGCCACCCTGCCTCCAACCGCCGTCTCCCTGAACGACCGAATCACGATTTGGAATTCTTCGGAGGGTGTCTTTGGGCCATCTTGGGCCGCCATGGGGCTCTCTGAGGGCCATCTTGGACCCGTGTTGTGCCGTTTTGGGGCTCTCTTGGACTGCCTGGAAGCCCTTTCGGATGGTTGTGGGGCGATTTGGGAGCCTCCCAGGCGGCTTCGGACGCCCAGAAGACCGCCGTCTTGGAGCGTCGGGAAGCCGAAAAGAGGAGAACCCCCAAATTCACCAAAAACCAAAGAAAATCAATGATTTTTGCCTCGGGGGGCCTTCTTGGGAGTGCTCTTGGAGGCCTCTTTGGGGCCGTCCTGGAGGCCTCTTGGGCCATCTTGAGGTCACGTCGGTCACTCTTGGAGCGCTCTTGTGCTGTCTTGGGGGTCTCTGGGACGTCTCCGATGACCCCCCTGATCGCCCTAAGTGTGCTGGGAAGGCTTGGCAAAACGCCTTGCGAGGCCCGGTGGCAGCTTCGAGGCCCGTCCGGAGGGCCCCAAAGCCCCAGGTCCTGGGAGTTCGGTTTTTTTTTGGGGGGGGGAGGATGGGTTTTCCCCCATAGGAATACATACATATATATATATATATATATATACACACATATATATATATATATATATAGGATTGCATATATATATATATATATATATATATATATATATATATATATATACATACATATATATATAGGTCTCTCTCAACGCCTTCTTGGCCATCTTGGAGGCCATCTTGGGCCATTTGGGCAGTTTTGGCGGCCGATGGGGCCAACGGAGAGCGAATTGTTCACGCTTCGCGTATCCCCACCAGCCCATTCCGAAACGCTGCCCATTCCGCCCACCAGCCGATATGCCGATACGCCAGCGGGGATTGGGTCGGCGGCCGTTTCGACGCCATCGACGCTCCCTGGGACGATATGCCGATACGCCGACATGCCGATATGAGTTGGGTTGGCGTATCGGCCCTCCCTGCGCCGACATGTCGATACGCCGATATGCCGATATGAGTTGGATCGGTATGTCGGCCCTCCCTGCGCCGATATGCCGAAGTCGGTATGAGTTGGGCTTCCATATCGGCATATGGACATATCGGCTCACCGGCGCCGATATATATATATATATATATATATATATATATATCAGATCGGTGTATCGGCTTATCGGCCCGCAGGCACTGGTATACCATATCAGCATATCGGCATATCGGCGCCGATAAACTGATACTGTATATCGGTCTATCTGCGTACCTGCGCCACGGCAAGAGCGGTTCCACAACGCGGTCGCCTTGTAGTGTCTGTCCAACGTAGAAGCAGGAGGAGGAGGAAGAAGGCGATGAAGGGGGGGCAGGGCCGCTGGGCGAGGGCGGAGAGAGGAAATGGACAGCGCTTGCAGAGGAAGACGACATGCCAGCGGCAAGACGCGCGTTCTGCTGACGCAGGCGGCGCGCGCCTGCTCCGAAAACGGAGCCGCCGCTGCTGCAACCCACCTCCGAACTCGGGACGGAGTCCATCGCGTGGCTCGTGCACCTTGCCTGGACATCCACGCAAGGAGGAAAGACTGGTCTACTCTGTAAGAACGGTTTTTTGAAGGCAGATCTGCCTTCAAAAAACCGTTCTTACAGAGTAGACCAGTTTTTCCTCCTTGCCTGCCTCCATCAATTCTGCAATGCTCGCACAAAAAAAGGCGGCGGCGCGCAAACTGGCGGCAGGGCGAGGGGGCGGCCCGCCGAGACGGCCCTCGCTCGATTGAAGGGGCGTGGGGCGTGGGGCCTCGTGAAACGCATGGTCCTTCTGAGAGGCCCTCTGCCTTTTTGGAAGGCAACCTCCTCGCCCCGCTCCCCTTCTGTGCGCCGCCGAAAACTCGTAACATTGGCCATGGGGCAGGCTCCTCCAGGGCCGCCGGAAGTGAATTGGCACAGCCGATCGCTGGGGGCACCCAGAGCCGCAGGCTTCGCAAGGCTCGGCATTCTCCACCACCTCCTCCTCCGCCTCCTCCTCCTCCTCCTCCACCACCTGAGGTGGACCCCCTCCTCCCCTCCTCCTCCTCCCTCCTCCTCCTCCTCCCTCTCCTCCTCCTCCTCCTCCTCCTCTCCTCCTCCTCCTCCTCCTCCTCCTCCTCCTCCTCCTCCTCCTCCTCCTCCTCCTCTTTCTTCTCTCCTTTTCCTCTGACATCTCTTCCCCCTCTTCGGCGCCGTCGCCGCCGTCGCCGCCGTTCGCTGCCGCAACCGCCCCCCTCCTTCTCCCCCTCCTTCTCCCGCTGCCGGTGCTGCTCGCCCTGACCCAGCCTAAATTTTCTCGGCGCCTCCGAAGGGGGGTGGAAAGAGAGAAGAGGAGGAAGAGAGGAGAGGGGAAGCGGATGGGATGGGAGATGAGGAGATGATGATGATGATGATGATGATGATGATGATGATGATGATGATGATGATGATGATGATGATGATGATGATGATGATGATGATGAGGATGATGATGATGAGGAGGAGGAGGAGGAGGAGGAGGAGGAGGAGGAGGAGGAGGAGGAGGAGGAGCTGCTTCTTGCTCCTGTTGCGCCTGGCCACTTCTGCGGCTGTCGTCCTCCTTCGCTTCCTGTTCCTGTGGCTTCCGCTCCTCCCGCCGCTTGTCCGCCGCCCGCCCTGCCTCTCCCAGTCCTCCCTCCTCCTCCCTTTCTCCCTCCTCCTTCTCCTCTTCTCCTCCCCCTCCTCCTCCTCCTCCACCACCACCTCCTCCTCTCCTCCTCCTTCGCCTCCTCCTCCTCCTATGTTTTCCTCCTTTGTTGTCGTCATCGTCTTATTCCTCCTCCTCCTCCCCCTCCTCCTCCTCCTCCTCCTCCTCCTCCTCCTCCTCCTCCTCCTCTTCCTCTTCCTCCTGCCTCCTCCTCCCTTCTCCTCCCTCTTCCCTCCTTCCTCCTCTCTCCTCCTCCTCGTCCTCCTCCTCCTCCTCCTTCGCCTCCTCCTCCTCCTCCTTCTCCTCCTCCTCCTCCTCCTCTTCCTCCTCCTCCTGAGGCAATGAAGCAATGACAGCACCGGCGCCGCCACTTCCCCTAAGGAGGCCCAGCAGAGCCCCCCAGGGGAGTAGACCATGATGCAAAATTCGGGGCCGAGGCCCCGCGAGACAGGAGGGCGGAAGAAGGAGAGGCACAGCATCAACCAAACCATAACGTCGAAGACATGGGAAAGGCGGGTGAGGCGAGCGGCGGTGGCAGCGTGCGTGGCAGGCTGAGCGCGGCTATGGCAGGGCCCAGGAGCCCGTTGCCGGGTCTGTCCCCACTCGGGTCAGCCAGCCCTCTTGGCGGCGGGCGCCCCAAGGGGCGCAGCGGCACCCACCGTGACAGAGGACGGGCAGAAGTGACGGCATGAATGTGGTGAGCCACAGGGGCGTTCGAAGAACAGGCACCCGTTAGGTGTGGGTGAACAGGCGGTGGACATGGCGCTGGAAGTTTGAGGGTTAAAAGTGGAAGCGGAGATTGTTCCGCGGGGCCCACTGTGGGGCGCCGCTCGCGGCCGGGAAGGGCCCAAAGGCCGTTCCCTCCGCCTATGGGCAGGCCCCAGGGGCGGGATCCCGCGCCTGTCAGCAGGCGAAGGCTTCCCAGCACGTCGGCCTCGTGGTCGCCCTGGGGGCTTCCACCGAGCGTGAGGGAGCTTTGGGCCCTCCCCCTGTGGTGGCGCGATGCAGCGCCGGCCACTTTCGCCAGGGCAGATGGCAGAAAGGCCTCACCCCCTGCACTGTGGACGCGCCACGCCACTCCGCAACCACCCTCCCCGTGAATGGCACCCTCCCCCCGCGGAAGCAGGAGTAGGGTATACCCTGATCACGAGAGTGGCGGCTGATTGGGGGGGGGGGGGCACCGTGCGCGGGGATGGTTTTTCTGCCACCCGTGGCGGCGGCGCAGACGTGTGTGGCTTGCGGTGGCTGGCAGGCGGTGGGCGACCGCGGCTGCCGTGAGCAGGCCGTCGGGGTCTGAGGCGGAGGTGCCCCGATGGCCGCTGCCACACACCCTGCGAAATGCTTCAGAAATCATGGGCTAAGAAATTCATGGTCTCAGAGTTGGAATAAAAACCCAGAGTGCCGATTCAGATCTTAGGATTTACATTGAGACATCAAGAATAATCGAGACTCTGGCCGAAAACTTGGGTTTTCTTAAGCATCGCCTAGAGTGTAGTGGCTAGTTGCGGCCGCGGCCGCCCTGGCCCTTGCCAGGACGGCCCGCGGTGAGTCCGAGCCCCCTCCCGCCCCAATGCGTAAGGGAGCCCCACCCATCCACCACCACGAGAGGAGGCGTGAAGAGAAGGCTCGCAGGGTAACGTCGAGGGGAGATGGGGCAGCGAGCAGAAGAGCAAGGAGGAAAGAAAGGTTCGAGGTTGGTGAGGACACGTGGTTCACTACAATCGCTTGAGTGATGGCAGTCGCCACTGATGCTCACGATATGATGCCGGTGCCATTGATGTTCGCACTGCAGAGTACTACCGTATCACACTGTGGATATGCCAAGAGAAGGCAGACCCCCCATACCACCAGCTGTGCTGTTTCTGTCTTTGCGGTGGGTGCCTACATGTCGGTTCAAGGATAATGTAGAGGTGGGAGTGGGTGTAGTAGCTGGCGGTACTGTCAACATAAAGCACATGTATAGAGTGGGAAGAAGCGCACTGATCGGCCCCCGTTAGGATGGTCCGATCGCGAGGATTGGCGATCAGGGGGGAGTCTCCTGATTCGCCGTAGGTTAGTCGTGCTGGTCAGGCTGGTCAGCTTTGACGGCGTCTGGTAGGTCGGCCATGGTTTCCACGGGTCGGGCCCGTAGAGTGGGAAGGCCTCCTGGTTCGTCTGCTGCTGGTCGCCCTGGTGGATGATGCTGTGGTGTCCATGTCCATCTCAGGGCGGTTTCGTGGTCGTCCGTGGTTTCCACGGGTCGGGCCCGTAGAGCCGGAGAGCCTCCTTGTCCGTCTCCTGCCTGTCGCCCTGATGGATGATGCAGCAGTGTCCGTCGGAAGGCAGTGTCGTTGCCGGCTTGTTTTCGCCGGTGTGGGGAATGTCCTTTACGGTGATATGGTCCGTGATCATGTTGCGGATCGCTGCAGCCATGCTAGTGTCGCCGATGGCGTGCTGCTGCGTTTGGTGTGGTGCTTGGTGGTCGGCAGTGCTGCTAGCTGCCGTTCTGCTAGTCGGGGCCGTGGTCCATTCGGGCTGCAACAAACTGGCCGTGTTGGTCTGCTCAACTGCACTCAGTCCTGAAGTCGATGGTCTAGGTGTCCGAGTTGTTGTGGTGCGGTCCCGATGTCAGCGTCGGTAGGCGGCAATAGGTCGTATGCAGTCGGTGGGTCTGGTGTCGGCTGTCGGTTCTGGTGGTTCTGTCCCTTATTCTCTGGCAAGGAGGTCTGGTTGGTGATGAGCCCGGCCATCTTGACCACTGCCTCAATTGCGATTTCCATCTGTAGGTCGGTGGCGAAGAATGGTGTCGGCGTGCACGTGGGGTTGTGTCGTATAGATACTCTGATGCCCGTGAGGATATCTCTCTGATGCTGCAGCACCACTGCTTGGTCATGCATGTCGACGTTCCTGCGGCTCTTGGGGTAGGTCAGCATGTTAGCCAAGCAGTGATTTGCGTAGTTTGCCAAGTCCCTTTGTCGCTGGTTCATGTAGAAACGGTGCACGTCCCGCAGCTCGTGGGACCCGCAGTAGCTGTTGAGAGCCCCTTCCACGTAGGCCATGACCTGAACGTATTCGATGCGGAGGTCGTCGCCTTTGTTTCGCGTCTCTGTCGGGGTCTGCTGGGTCGGTCAGTTCGAGCATCTCGTCGTAGTGGCAGAGGATCGCCTCGTGTGTATCTTGGGCATCACGTGCTCGCGCTTGTGTGGGTCGTCGCTTGTCATGACGGTCAGGCACTCGATGATGTCGTGCATGCGGTCTTTGATCCGCATTCCTGTTGTCATGCCTTGTGGTGATGAAGGTGGTGGTCGCTTTGCAAGCTCAATGGCTGCGTCTCCGATGCGCTTGATGTCGTCGTCGTTAGCCTTCGGAGCTGTTATGCCCCACCCCGTCGTGGTTTGGATCACGTCTGGCCCCTTGGTCTCGTTCTTCCGTGGAGTCGTCGGCGGTGGCTTTGTAGATCCGTCCTGCCATAGCTCAGGTGTACTCCGTGGAGTCCTCAGCGCATGCTGCTTCTGCAGTGGTCTGCTGTGCGATCGGGCTTGGCGTCAGAACAGCCGGTGGAGCTTTGTAGCGTAGCGAGCGGTACGGTACAGTGTCTGTTGGCACTGCTGTCGCTGTTACGGACTCCTCTGGTGCCTCGTAGTGTCTAGGCTGGGCTCGTAAGTTGCTGTTCCTCCTCCTCCTCCTCCTCCTCCTCCTCCTCCTCGCTCCTCCTCCTCGCTCCTCCTCCTCTTTCTCCTCCTCCTCCTCCTCCTCCTCGCTCCTCCTCCTCCTCCTCCTTCTCTCTCCCTGTCCTCGCGCTCGCACCCTCTCCGAGCACTCCTCCGGCAACACACGCGTGGAGGCCTCTCTGGGTCCAGGGAGGGGCCCCGGAGGCCTCGGCACTGACCGCAGGCCTCCTCGGGCGGCCCAACAGGGCGCCCAAAGTTGTTGCTGCTGCTGCTGCTGCTTTGGGTGGGGGGGGGGGCGAAGCTCACAACCTCCCTCCTCCTCCCCCTCCCCCTCCTCCTCCCTCCTCCTCCCTCCTCCTCCCTCCCTCCCTCCCTCCCTCCCTCCCTCCCTCCCTCCCTCCCTCCCTCCCTCCCCACCTGGCTATCGCTCGGACGCCCATTCCCTGTGCCTTTTTTGTTCGGTTTCGCGCGTGCGGTTTTCTGTTTTCCCGCAGGAGGATCTCCGGGAGGCTCCTTCAAATAGTCCCCGCCGAGAAGAAGTGCACACGCCCGAGCGACACCAAAAGTCACTGCGCCATCCCGAGGCCGAGGCTGCCCCGCCTCGCGTGTGCCACGAATTGAGGACGGCCGCCCGCGCGCGGCCCAAGGGCCGCACTCTCTCCGGGCCGTCGCGGTGCCCGAATTCGAGGGGCGAGGGAGGGGGACGAGGGAGGGGAGGGAAGGCGGTCTGGAAAGGACAGGCGAGAGGGGGAGGGCAAGGCGGAGGGGAGATGGCGAGGGGGGGGGGGGAGGGGAGCTCGAGGGGAGGTGGGGGGGGGGCGAGGACGAAAGGGGGAAGGGGAGGGAGAGGAGTGGGGGAGGGGGGGCGAGGACAACCCAAGGGGAGGGGAGGGGAGGGGATGCGATGTCGGCAGGGAAGGGGAAACTCGAGGAGAGGGTACGGGGGAGGGGGGGATCAGGGTATATTGGGCCGCCTCGCTTCGCCTGTTGTTCCAGGTCATGCTGCTGCTGCTCATGCCGGTCAGCCTCCCCCTCTTCCAGCTTCTCGATCCTCGCTCCCCCTCCCACTCAGCCCCCTGAGTAAGTGATTAATGTTGGCTCATGTTGGAAGTCCCTTCGGGCTTCCAGCTTGACTGCTGCTGAGGGGAGGACACCATTGCGTCCGGTAGTGGTGTCGCGACATCCCTTGACAACCCCGGCTGCATGTACTTGAGGATCGCCACTTCGTTGGCATATGCAGGATACATGTATTCCTGTGTATACAAGCATATCGATGTACACATCTGGACAACCCCCCCAACCCCTCCAGCACCCGTTGGTCGTCTTCTTTTCTTTTGGCGGTGGTCGTCTCTCCTCTCCCCTGTCGTCTCCCTCCTCCTCCTTCTCCTCCTGTTATGCGTCCTCCTCCTCCTCCTTCGCATCCTCCTGTTCCTGTTACCGCTCTTCCTGCTGCTGCTGCTGCTGCTGCGCCCCCTCCTCCTGCTGCTCCACCTCCTGCTGCTGCCGCTCCTCCTCCTTCTCGCCACAAGGCTTGCAACACAAGCGGGCGCCACGCTACAGCTCTCCAGCGCTCTGCATCGTAGACGTCCAGCTGAGAACAGAAAGCTCGCGAGGCCCAAAACCCGTTGATACCATGTGGATTGTCTTGGATGTCTGCGATGAGGACCCCAGAGGCCCTGTGCGTTCATCTGGTTTTGGGGGATGTCTTGGACTTGGCAGCGTCCTACAGGAATTCACGCGGCAGCCCTCCAGGGCTCTGAAAGCCCCCAAATCCACATGAAAACAGGTTCACGCGAGACCGGAGAGCGCCAAACCTTGTGACGTCACTTGGATGTTTGGGATTCCGGGATGCACCCTAAACCCTAAACCCTAAACCCTAAACCCTAAACCCTAAACCCTAAACCCTAAACCCAAGAACACGGCATCAGTGTGATGTTTCTGATGTCTGGGATCTTGCACCCTCCACCCACAGTCCACGCTGCGGCTCTCCAGGGCCCAGAGCCCAACAAAAACTAACAACGGTCGACATGAAAGCACAAGGTTTCAGGAATTCTCATCACGGGCATCCCAAACATCATCATTACATCCCAGTGCTTGGCGTCCTCTGGTCTCGCAAAGCTTGTGATTCCATCTGGACTTCTTGGATTCAGAGCCCTGGAGGGCTGCAGCGTGGATTCTCGTCGAAGGCTGTAAAATCGCAGCAATCCAGAACATCGAATGGAATCGCAGGGGCTCTGGGATCCTCCTCCCAGCCCGAAAACATGCGAATGACATTACCAAGTTTGGCGTCCTCTGGTCTCGCAAACCTTGTGGTTTCATGCGGACTTCTGGGATTCAGAGCACTGGAGGGCTGCATCGCAGATTCTCGCTGGAGGCTGTCAAATCCTAGGAATCCAGAAAATCCACATGACATCATTAAGTTTCTGGGATTCGCATACCAGGAGCCCCAAACATCCAAAAGAAATCACATGGTTTGGCGCCCTCTGATCTCGCACAACTCGTGATTTCACATGGGTCGCTGCTCCCTCGAATCTCTCTCTCTCTCTCTCTCGTTCCCCTCTCTCTCGTATTATCTCTTCTTTTTGTTTTTTTGTTTTTTCTCTCTCTCTCTCTCACACTCCCCGGAAGAGGAGGAGGAGGAGGAGGAGGTGGAGGAGGAGCAGGAGGAGGAGCAGAGCATAACGACGAGGAGGATGAGGAGCAACACGGGAAGGAGGAGGAGGAGGAGAAAACGAAATAGGAATGGAAAAGCTGTACGACAAGACGACACATAACATCGAGGAGATGAGGGAGAGGAGAGGAGAGATCGTGGCTCCCTCGAGTATCTCTCTCTCTCTCTCCTTTTCTCCCTCTCTGCCTCTCGCTGTCGCTCTGTCAATATGTAGATATGTAGATATCCCTCCTATTATCCCTCTCAACTCTCTCTCTCTCTCTCCCTCTCTCTCTCTGATTATATCGCTCTCTCTCTCTCTCTATCCCCCTCTCTGTCTTGCTCGCCCTCTCTCTCGCTCTCGTTGTGTTTTTGTTTGTTCTCTCTCTTTCTCTCTCCTACTCTCTCTCTTTCTCTTTTTCTCTCTCTCTCTCTCTCTCTCTCTCTCTCTCTCTTCCTCATCGGAAACAGGGGGCACGAGCAACAACATATGTGGAAGCGGCGGCCGTGAAAGAAGGAGGGAGGAAGGATGAGGCATGAGGAGGAGGAGCTCACTTGCCAATCGGCCCAGCAGCCTCACGCGCCCGTGCGCGAGTGGCATACCGAATGACCCGCTAGCTCGTGGAGCTGCTGGCCGGCGCCTCGCGGGGCGCGCCGGCGGAGGCCGAGGCCCGCCGTGCCAGGCGCGGGCCGGCGCGCCTCCGTGCCATCCCCCTCCCCCTTTCCACCTTTCCCCTTTCCCTCCTCCTCCTCCCCCTCCGAGCACGAGGAGGAGGAGGAGGAAAAGGAGGAGGAGGAGGAGCACTAAGAACATCCTTATCTTCCTCCTCCTCCTCCTCCTGCTCGTCCTCCTCCTGTTGCTTCTCAACCTTCTCCTGCACGTGCCGCACCACCTCCACCACTACTGAGACGAGTGCTGGTAATAGTAGTCCTCATAGAAGTAGTAGTAGTGGTAGTGGTAGTGGTAGTAGTAGTAGTAGTAGTAGTAGTAGTAGTAGTAGTAGTAGTAGTAGTAGTAGTAGTAGTAGTAGTAGTAGTAGTAGTAGTAGTAGTAGTAGTAGTAGTAGTAGTAGTAGTAGTAGTAGTAGTAGTAGTAGTAGTAGTAGTAGTAGTAGTAGTAGTAGTAGTAGTAGTAGTAGTAGTAGTAGTAGTAGTAGTAGTAGTAGTAGTAGTAGTGCGTAGTAGTAGTAGTAGTAGTAGTAGTAGTAGTAGTAGTAGTAGTAGTAGTAGTAGTAGTAGTAGTAGTAGTAGTAGTAGTAGTAGTAGTGGAGTAGTAGTAGTACTAGTAGTAGTACCGCCGTTTGCGAAATAAACGCCCATCTTAGGGATCGAAAACAAGACGACGAAGCACGCCCCCTTTCCCCCGCATTTCAAGGTTGACGGGGAGGGCTGGGCAGTCCAACATAAGTGGGCGTTTATTTCGCAACGCTTCGCACTCCCCTTCGGCGTGTTCGGTGGCCAACATTGAAATGCGGGGCGCGGGGCGGGGATCTCGGTACTTCCACACGTGGGCGTTTATTTCGCAAACGGCGGACTCATTTGCCATGGCATCTTCGGCTACGGGCATCTGCATGGGTTGCGTTGCGCGACTGGCCCCCTCCCCGCTGCCCAACGGGTTGCGCTCTCCCGTTGGCGCCCTGCAAGGACTTTAAGGCTGCCCGAAGCCGCCCGTCTTGAGGGCGGCGTCAAGAGCGACGCCAGACTATGAACGCCGCCGCGTGCTCCGGTCACTTCAAGCATTCCGTTCACCTGGCGCAGCTGTTTCGGCTCAGTCGTCACCGCAGCAACGGCCTCGCCCCGCCCCGAGGCCATCTGACCCCTTTTTCGGTCGCGGGCCCAGATGGCGCCCCACCTCAGCAAGAGGGAGCTCGACCGCTGCTTCTCGCTCTATGCCGCTGGGAAGACCCCGGTGGAGACACGCGACCTCGTTAGTCGGACCCGTGAGTCCCTCGACGAGACTGGGCCGGATTTGACGACCGTCCGCCGGGCCCTGCGGGGCGCCACGCACAGGCGTGGCCCAGCGGAGACTCGCGGCCGCAAGCCCAAGCTCACGGCCGTCAAGCTCCGCGCCTTGAACAACGCGCGGGTTCGTTTGATTCGGGCGGCCAAGGGCGAGGCCGAGGTTCACCTCAGGGACGTGATGAAGGCCGCGCGGGTCTCCGACGTCCACAAGGGCACGGCCTCCAGGCACTTCAAGCGCCTCGGGGTCACCTGGCGCGCTCCCCGCGCGGAGCCGCTCCGCGGCTCCGCGGAGGCGGAGGAGCGCGTGGCCGTGTGTTCGGGGTGGAAGCGGCTCCCGGGCAACTATTTCACGCACCAGGTCGATGCCATCATCGACAATAAGGTGTTCCCCATCCCCATGACCAAGCGGGCGAAGACGCACGCAAAGAAGAGTCGCGTTCGCGGCCACCTTCGCACCAAGGCAGAGGGGGCGCGGCTCTCGGTCCGGAGTGCGATCCCAGGGGCTGGGGGCGGGGGCCGCCGGGCCGCCGAAGTCGAGATGCCGATTCCGCCCCCGATCGTTGCCCCGATCCATGTCTGCGATCCAAGTCTGATCGGGTCTGATCGGGCCCGTCCAGGCGATCGGACATGTTTTTCTTGGCGTCGTTTCTTTCTGGTATGAGGGTTCTTATTGGCGTAGTTTCTTTCGGATGCGAGGGGCGGGGGGGGGGGGGCCGGGCGGGGGGCCGGCTGGCCGGGCCCTCCCCCGAGGTCCTCAAGCCTTTCACGAAGCCGAAGGGGAACCGGAACAGGGTGAACCCAGGCGCCAAGGTTCACGTGGCCGCAGCCATCGTGAACAACAAGGTCCGCGTCTGGCACTACCTGCCCACCCTGTGGTGCGCCGACGCAGCCTGCGATTTCTACGCGGGCGTCCTCGCTCCCGCGCTTCGCCGTTGCCGGAAGGGGCGCCGCGCCTTCCGCATCCTGGAGGATAACGACCCCACGGGGTACAAGAGCAAGAAGGCCGTTGACTGCAAGCGGCCCCCTTAGTTGGCGCGCCACCGCGGCGGCCGCGAGTTCGAGTCGGGCCCCGTCTGGCGATCGCCCCGCCAGTCGGCGCCCGCTCTTGATCGCCCGCCTCTCGCGCCCCAGTCGACCCCGCTCGGTCGCTCTCAGGCGGGGGCTCAAGATCACCCCCCTCAAGTTCCCCAAGTATTCCCCGGACTTGAACCCCCTCGACTACTTCCTCTGGGCGGAGGTCAACCGACGAATGGCAGAGCAGAGCGCGCCGGCCAATGAGTCTCAGAGCGCTTACAAGGCGCGCCTCAGGCGCGTCGCCATGGGCATCCCGAAGAGCGTCATCAGGGCAGCCGTGGCTAAGATGAAGACGAAGGCGGCGGAGGTCGTCGTGGCCGAGGGAGGCAGGATCCCGAGCGATTGAGCCTGCGGCCCGGGAGCGTTGGCGCTGATCAGCCGAGTCGGCGGCGCGGTCTTTGCCACGACGCAATTTTTCCAGCCGCGGCCGGGGAGCCAGCCGAATCGGCGGCTCGGCCTCTGCCAAAGCGGATTTTTCCTCAGTGACCGCCGAGAGATTTCAGAATTCCTGCCGCAGCGCATGCACCGAGAAACGCGTCGTGGATCCGTAGACTTGAAAATCGTAGCCGTGCTGCTACTGTTCCATCCCTGCCTTTCGGGGGGAGCTCGACTGCCCATGTCGAGGGCCCTGCGGTGCTCGCGACTCCTGCGCTTTACGCGCGTTTGCCTTAGTGCAGGCCCGCGCGGGACACAGCCTGCGTATCATTGCGGCTTCATGTCGTTTGCACGTGTGTCCAGAACATCGTGCAACGCGTTGCCCGCGCGTCTGGCCCGCGGCGGAGGAGGCGGCAGGGCGCGTTGCCCGGCGCTTGCAACGTGGAGCTCGCGGCCGGTGCTGCGACCAACAGCGCTTGCCTTCGTGACTTGTTGGCGGTGCGTTATGCCACTTCTACCAAACACGGAGGAAAGCCAATTCCGTCGGATTGAAGGTCCGGGGGCGGGGAGGGCAGGCGACCGCTTATCCCAGGGGCCGCCTTAGAGCACAACTAGAGCACAACTAGAGCACAACCTAGAGCACAACCTAGAGCACAACTCATTTCATGGTAGTCTGGCACGCATTCGCGTTCGAAAATAAAGAAAGTATTGATTCTTTTTTGATTTGGGAAGGTTGAGTGCCATTTTTTCTATGAAAATATATACCTTCTTCAGTTGTGCTCTAGGTTGTGCTCTAGGTTGTGCTCTAGGTTGTGCTCTAGGTTGTGCTCTAGTTGGGGCCGCCAGGCCAGACGGATCGTAGACGGGTGGCGGGCGCGGGGCGCGCGTCGTGTCGCAGGTCGCGAGCGCGGGTCGTGGGCGAAGTTCGCCGTGTTCGGGTCGCTGGTCGGAATGGCGCCCTCGCCGTCGCGCTGGTCACAGCGTGTTCCTCTCTCCTCCCTATCGGGGAGGCTTGCGCACGCCCGCCCAGGCGCCGAGGCTTTTGCCGGGCCAGACCGAACTGCGCCAGGACCCGCGTCCATGTCGACGGCGGACGCCCCAGGCGTACACTCCGAGAAAATATGTTTGGACATGGATCCCTCGCTCGTGTCGGAGCCGTTTTCTTTGTGGGCCCGTTATGTACCACAGGATTGCACGTGGACGTCGGAATGGTGCTCTCGCCGTCGCGCTGGCCACGCTTCCCCCCCCCCGTCGTTTTTTTGGATCACGTGTCCGGACCGGAAGGCCTACGGCCAGGCACTGACCTTCCCCAGCCCCATTCACGGCGCGCTACCTTCCCAAGCTTGGTAAGCACACACTCCCGAGATTTTCCGCAGAGATTTAATTGCTCTTGTGGATTGACGGAGTAGCCCCTGCTGCCCGAGGGAGGGTTCGGAGTCTGTGAGGGGTATTGAATTGGAGCAGGGAAGGACACGTAAACGAAACTGTTTTGTTTTTTTGTTGTTTTCGGACAACAGGGGTAGATTGCAACGGGGGACCCCCAGGGGGCCAGGGCAGCCGGGTGGAAAATTCGGCGTCCTAAAAAGGGGAAATTATGGTCTTTTTTTGATTTTTCTTCTCGGGACTCTGCGCGCCCCCTTGTAAGGATTGCCCGGCGCGGAGGCGAGAGCACCGATTCCTGGCAATGTGGGCCGCCGCTGGCGCTCCCTCCCTGCCTCCCGCTCTCCCTCCATTGGCAGTACCATTATCATCGCCCTTCAGACACCCGCAGGGTCGCGTCGCCCTGTCGCGAGGCGGCCGCTTGACCGGGAGTGCACCTGGAGAGCACCTGGAGAGTCCGATTATGTGCAATGTTATTGGTTTTGTACGATTATAAATCTTCGTATGTTCCGGCGCCCCACTGAATTTGGTGCGGATTTCGTGAGCTCGATTCTGAGATCGATCGTGGATTTTGAGATATATCTTAAGGTCGACCGTGGAATCGACAGTGAGATCGATAGTGATATTGATCGTGAGATCGATCTTGAAATCGACAGCGAAGCTATTGGAGACCTCCCAAATCCTCCGGAACCCTCCAGAACCCTCCCATACCTCCTAGACCCTCCGCGCTCCCCCTAAAACCTCCACAACTCCCCATACATCCGAAACCCTCGCACTGCTCACAAATCCTCCGGAACCCTCCCCCCCCCCCTAAATTTTCGGAAGACTTCCCAAAACCTCCAGAACCCTCCAGAACCCTCCCATACCTCCTAACCCCTCCGCACTCCCCCCACCCCCCACCCCCATGCATCCGAAACCCTCGCACTGCTCCCAAATCCTCCGGAACCCTCCCAACCCCCCTAAATTTTCAGAAGACTTCCCAAAACCTCCAGAACCCTCCAGAACCCTCCCATACCTCCTCCCCCCACCCCCCACCCCCATGCATCCGAAACCCTCGTTCGCACTGCTCCCAAATCCTCCGGAACCCTCCCACACCCCCTAAACTTTTGGAAGACTTCCCAAAACCTCCAAACCCTCCAGAACCCCCCCCTACCTTCTAACCCCTCCGCGCTCCCCCCAAAACCTCCACAACTCCCCATACATCCGAAACCCTCGCACTGCTCCCAAATCCTCCGGAGCCCTCCCAAACTCTTTCTACTTTCGGAGGACTTCCCAAAACCTCCAGAACCCTCCAGAACCCCCAAGTCCTCTCCACCCCTCCGCCCCCCGCTTCCAGAGCCCTCGGAGTGCGGTGGATTCAGGGGGACAGGGAATCGGCCTCGCTTGCACTCTTGGGACAAGTTGCATCGGTTTTCCCGCTCCGACCCAGACAGGTTTTGGGGCAATCTTGGAGTTGGTGGGCATACCTTTCCCTCCCCCTCCCTCCCCCTTCCTCTGACCAGTCGGTGCTCGCAGGCACGTTGAGACTCACGTCCTGTGGTGCTCTGTAGCTGTCGCGGTGCTCTGAGGTCCTTTCGAGTTCTGTGGTGCTCTGAGGCTGTTGCGGTGATCACCAGCCCTGTAGCGCCCACAGGCGCTGCGGCTCAAGCCGTTCTTACTTAATGGGCTCTGAGGTGCTCTCAGGCTTTGAAGTGGTGCTCACAGCCGTCGTGGTGCTCATGGCCATTGGTGCTTAAAACCACTGCAGCTGCCTTGTGGCTCAAGTCTTATAGGGAGAACCGTACGGACCTTGGCACCTGTCACTGGGAGTACCGTGCACTGCAATGCCCACAGACCCCTCTATGCCGAGGCGCCGCTTGCGGCAGAAGACGGACACGGGGCGCGTGGTGCCGTCTCCCCCAGTCCCGTCCGCAGGCGTGGACGCCGAGGCCGTCGAAACCAAAGTCATCCGGGACGCCTTGAAGGCCGTCTTAGTAGGCAAGGACTTGAAACACATTTCGTTGCGTGAGCGTCGCCGCCAGGTCGCTTTGAAACTCGGTTTGCAAGAGCATGCTTTGGACCAACGCAAGCACGAGTTCAAGAGCCTGACAACCGAGGTCGTTTCGGAAACGCAGCCCGACCAGGACGCCGCGTCGCCTCTGGAGACCGTGTTGGCTGAGGCCGAGAAGCCGGACTCGTTGCAGTGGGTCTACTTGGTGACCATATCGCGCGTCCTGGACGCGACCCTTCCCGACGGCCGCCAGTGCCGCGATCTTGGCACGATGAGCCGGGAGGACATCGGAAAAGCAGTGGCCGACGCATTCAACAATCCGATTCCGACTGGGTCCGCGGGCGGCCGCCCTAGGAAGGAACCGGACGGCCAAGCGCTCGTGTCCATGGCGGTGGTGTTCCAGGAGAAGCACAAAGACGGCGCGATCCATTTCCACGTTGCTGTGAAGCTGACTAGGTCGGGCTGTTTCCAGCAGGCCAAGCGCACTCTGCGTGAGCGCCATTTGTTGCCGAGCCATTTCTCTGGTTCCCACCGGCGAATGTGGAGCGCCGTGAGGTACGGGCATATGGAGACCCCAGCCAAACCAGATGTCGACGACGCCCCGTGGGTGTGGCAGCCAGACTGGGCTGGGTTCGCGCGCGAGAACGACGCCATCGACCTCTTCGAGATGTCGCAGGAGCCATACATGGCAGGCGCGTGGGTGAAGCGCCGGGAGGCCACGGACAAGGCGGCCGGGGCGATGGGCACGAAGACGACGTTCGAACTCGTAGACTTGACGTCGACCATCATCGCCAAGCACTTGTGGGCGAAGGACAGCCTGATGGCGTACGTCCAGGACCGCGGGACGAAGGCCATGCAGGGGTTCGTCCGCAGCCGATTGCGCAAGCTGACGGCGGACCTTGAAGAGACGAAGGAGTGGGCGTCTGCCCGCGAGAACGCGGCCTTCGAGGCGGTGGACGATTGGACGCTCGTGTGCCGCTGCGCTGAGGAGACATGCCCCCATGGCCCGGCGTGCTCGTACAGGTCAGCCGTGGAGACCATCTTCTCCCGCAACGCCGCTTCTTTCGACGTTCGGGAGCTCGCGGCGTCTCTGCGGGACATTCTGATGGTCGGCCCGAAGAAGACGACGAGGGTGCCCTTCCTGGTGGGGCCGTCGAATTCCGGGAAGAGCACGGTGGTTTACCCTTTCGACGACTTGTTTACTCCGAAACGGGTTCTGCACAAGCCTGCCTTGGGCCCCTCCTTTGGACTCCGGAACCTGGCCAGCGGCACGAAGCGGTTCATCTTCTGGGACGACTTCCGGCCGGTTGAGTTCGCCCACGAGAAGACCGTCCCCGTCTCTTTGTTCCTGTCTCTGTTCGTCGGCCAGCACACCGAGATCCAGATTTCCCAGTCCTTCAACGACGGGAACAAGGACGTCTGCTGGAACCACGGCGCCGTTTTCACGGGCAAGCTGGAGGGCCTCTGGGAGACGACGAATAAGGTGGGTGCGGAGGACATCCGGCACATGCAGAACCGCGTGAGGCAGTTCCCATTCACCTCCGTCTTGTCGGACGGCTCTTTGCAGGACGTGCTCTCGTGTGCTCCGTGCATGACCGCGTGGATCGTCCGGGAGGCGGCAAAGTTCGACGCCGTCGGCGTTTTCCGCCCGGCGCCCGCTGCGCTGGCCGCGGCAGACGCGGGCGTGCCGCCTGTGAGCGGCTTCGACGACCTCATGTCCGACGCGCGCATACCCCGCGCGCAGGCAGACGCCTTGCTGGCGGATGTCCGCGCGATGGGTGCGGTTGCCGTGGACGAGGTACTCCCCGCGGACTGGGTCCGTCTGAATTCGTGGGCCTTGCTGCTCCCGCTCCAGAAGCGCAGACTTCTTGGGCAAATCGGCTCTCCGGTTTCGCCCTGAGGGGGCGCGCGGGCAGCGCCGGGGGCTTCCCCCCAGCGCTCCGCCCCGCGTCTTTTGCATGCTCGCGAGGGTGCGCGTGCGGTTACCGCTGGCGAAGTCCAGTTGGGTTGCGCGCGCCCGCCTCTCAGCTTTTGCGCTTCCGGAAGCACACGCGCGCGCGGGCACCGCTGGCCAAGTCCACTTGGTTTGCGAGCGCCCGCCTGTCAGCTTTTGCACTCTAGTGAGCACGCGCGCGCGGGCGCCGCTGGCGCCGCCCAGTGGGGTTACGCGTGCACGCGCGTGGCGCCCGGCAGCTCGTCTTTGCGCGGAAATGACGCCTCGAAAGGGGTAGAAGTGCGAGACGAGGTAGACAGGGCAGAGTGGACGGAAGCTGCAGGGGAGAGTAAGGGGGGTCA